ACACCTCCAACTACCAGGAAATGAAAATCAAACCACAATGAGATGTCACATCACTCCAGTTAGATTAGTTATTACCAAAAAGGCAAATGATACCAAGAGCTTGCAAAGGTGTGGATGAAAGGGAAGCTGTTGCATAGCTGTTTTTTTTTTCTTTCCCTTTCAGTTCTTTTCTTCTTATTCTGTTGATCTGCTAGTGGGGAAGAGAAGTGGACTACTCCTTGCTATCAAACTACTTCAGCTCCTGGAGATAGGGAATGGTCATTTGATACCATCTTAGAGTCCCGATGTGGGGAGGAATGTTCCAAGGGTGTTACATGAGTGGTTTTGATAGTTCTCAGACGCTGTCGGCTTTGTTGCACTGGGGTTAAGAAAATCTTTCAAAGGTCTATTGGCTGACCAAGATCACTTCAGTGTGCATCCATAGACTTAGACTCTGCTGCAAAGCTCGATCAGGAGAGTTGACCAACCTATTTTGCTTTCCATCCTCAAATGAGGCACATGACATCCTCTGTTGGCCTACATGAGCTGACTATCACATCAACCATGTGCATCTAGGCACGCTATGCACTGCACAGGCTTCAGCAACTGAGGAGGCCCAGCCCCAATATACTCTTTTCAAGGTTACACCGTGTAACACTCTGATTTTCCCCTTGACTTGGATTTAAGATCAGTGACCCAGTTGGGGAGTCCCCCAAGAAGCCTCACCTGGAGTAACCTGACTTAACTCTTGTGTGTGCCAGCTGGTGCAGGGTTATGCTCAGTCCATCTCCTGCACCAGCCAACATACATACTGTTGGATACAGCTGCATAGTCAGTTCTGCCCTCAGCTCCATCTCATGCAAACTGACAGCCTGCCACAGGCTCAGTCCTCACACACACACACCAGTGGGTGCCATGGCTCTGGCTATCACGCTCACCAGCAAGAGCTGCAGTGAACATGACAGCAGTGCCATGCCCACAGCCAGCCCCCAATCTTGCCAAGGGTACTACAGTCCAGCCCTACATGATTTGTAACAAGTCTTGCTACCTGGTCCTGCTGCCTAGCCTGCTGGTGAGTATCCATTTTGGCTCTCTCACTTGTCAGTGGATATGGTGGCCTAGCTGAGTCTGGTTCACCTCCAGACCCAGCCCAAATGCCGGCTGACGGGTGCTGCATTCCTGCACAGACTGGACAACCCTCAGTCCCAGCTCTTGTGCTCACTGTGGAAGCAGCATCTCAGCAGTGGAATCCCCTCCCAGGCTTGTACCCAGTCTTGGGACTTGTATGTACCAGCAGGTGTTGTGACCCAGACTGAGATGACCCATCCCCCAGTCTCAGCATTAGTCAACAGGTGCTGCAGCCCAGCTTGACCTACTTCCAGCCCCAGCCCTCATATGAACTGGCAGATGTTATGGTCCAATCTGGCCTGGCCTATATCCCATCCTGGCTCTTGCTTGTCTCAGTGTATACTATGGACTGGCCCAGCCCAGCCTTACCCCCAGACCTAGTCCACACATGCTGACATGTGCTGCCCCTAGTCTCAGCTTCTGTACTCATCAGTGAGAGCTATGGCCTCGCAAGGGAGTTCCCCAAGTTCCCCTCCAAGTTCACTTCTGGTCCCAGATCTTACAAGTGTTGACCTGACGCAGCTTCTCCCCACTCCTAGCATTCACCAGCAAGTACTGTCATCCAGCCTGGCTGGCCCACACATTCTGGTCCTTACTGGCAGATACCATAGCCTAGTCCAATGAGGCCCACTCCCAATTCTGGCTTCTATGTGAACCAGGTGCTGCAGCCTAGCCTGGCCTGTCCTATATCCATTCTGGCTCTCACAAATGCCACAAGGTGCTGAAGCCTAGCCCAGTCTGGTCCACTGTCAGACCCAGCCCACATGCATGCCAGCAACAGGTGCTCAAGTCTTACCCAGCCTGTCTGCCCACAGCCTCAGCTCTCACACTCACCAGTGGGCGCTACCAGGCCAGTTCCCCACCCAGATCTTGTACATGTTGGTGGGTGCTTTGACCCATTTTGGCATAGCCCACCTGCAGTTTCAGCTCTTGGTGGCACATATTGCAGCCTAGCCTAGCTCAGCTGGGCACAGTCCCTACCGCATCCTGGCTCTCACCAACCCCATGTTCACTGCCTTCCCCCATACATCTCTAAAAAAACAGACAGTTATGCTGGCACACTGGTATAATAAACACAAATTTGGCATTAATCAGGCCCAGAATGCTCATCAGCTATTGGCTACCTTTCTCCCAGCTATAACACTTTGCTAGGAACAAGGCAACCTAGGCAGTTGCCTAGAGCTGGGGTGTGCCACAATGTTGATACGAATGTCAGTTAGTATAACTGTTGCAGAAAGCAGTGTGGAGGTGTCAGAAACACACACACACACACACACACACACACACACAGAGCTATCACATGCTCCAGCAATCATACTACTGGATGCATATCCAAGCGAAATGAAATCACTGTGTTAAATGAGAATTATCTGCACCCACATGATTATGGAAGCTATAAGCTTCACAATAGCTAAGAAAGGGAAACAACTTAAATGCTTATCAACTGCTGAATGTATAAAGAAAACGTAGCACAGGAGTCAGTGCAGGGCCATGGCAAGCTCATCCTCTGCCTGTAGTAACAGTATCCCATATGGGTACAGGTTCATGTCCCAGCTGCTCCATTTCCAACCCAGCTCCTTGTTTATGGCCTGGGAAAGCAGCAGAGGATGGCTCAAATCCTTGAGTCCCTGCACCTATGTGGGAAACCTGGAAGAAACTCCTGACTTTGGATCAGTCCAGCTCTGGCCATTGTGGCCATTTGGGGAGTGAACCAGTGGATGAAAGACATCTCTCCCAGTAAATCTTTCAAATAAAAACAATTAAAAAAAAAAAAAAAAAAGATGTGGCCCAGTGCAGTAGCCTAGTGTATAAGGTCCTCACCTTGCACATGCTAGGATCTCATATGGGCACCAATTCGTGTCCTGCCTGCTCCACTTCCCATCCAGCTCCCTGCTTGTGGTCTGGGAAAGCAGCTGAGGATGGCCCAAAGCCTTGATACCCTGCACCTGCATGGGACACCCAGAAGAGGCTCCAGGCTCCTGGCTTCAGTTTGGCTCAGCTCCAACCGTTGCAGCCACTTGGGGAATGAACCAGTGGATGGAAGATCATTTTTCTCTCTGTCCTCCTCTCTGTGTATCTGATTTTCCAGTAAAATAAGTAAATCTTAAAAAAAGAAAATGTAGCACACACATACCATTGTATATTGGTTAGCTCCAAAAAACAATATCCCTGTCATCTACAATAATATAGATGAAATTGGAGGTCATTACACTAAACGAAACAAGCATAGAATGACAATTATTGTATGATTTTGCTCATAACTGTAATCTAAACAAAAAGATCTTACAGAAGCTTAGAACAGAATAGTGGTTACCAAAGGTTGGGGAGAGCAGAAAGGGGTAAGAGGAAAAAATGATTAAAGGATATTAAGGATTTTTTTTTGCCACAAAAAGATGATAAATTATTGGTGAGATACAGATCTGGTGTAAGACTTAGTTCACTGGCATGGAAGGCAAAGTTACAGACAGAGAGAGGGTAAGAGAGACCTTTTTGTCCTCTGGTTCATTCCCCAAATGGCAGGAGCAGTCAGGGGTGAAGCCAGGGGCTTCCCCCAGGCCTTCCACATGGTGACAAGGGCCAGGCATTGGGCTCATCCTCTACTGATTTTCCAGAACCACTAGTAGTGAGCTGGATTGGGAGTAGTGCAGAGGGACTCAGCTTAGTATCCAAATGGGGCCTGGCATTGCAGATGACAGTTCAACCCACTATGCCACAATGCTAGCCCCAAGAAAATATTTTTACCCTGATTTGAACATCATACATGCAGAAAAACATTATGTAATATTTATAAATAGTCTTTATGAATGTTAGAAAATTCTAAAAGCTTACAATGCAAAAAAATACATCTGGCTTTTTAAAATTTCTTTCACAGCTTCACCTGAAATATGCTAGGTACAAATAAACTTGCAAATATTGAAGGTATATCATTTACCAAGTTTGGGTATATAAACAACACCTGTGATATTGTCACCACATCTTGCATCACTTCTAAAAGTTCTTAACCATTTTCAGGTTCTGTCTTAACTGCACTGTTAACTGCAAGTACTGATACACAGTTGATTTGTTCAACTTCTTCACCCTATATAACGTTATTACTATTGAACAACTCCTGTCCTCCCCGGCTTGCAATGCCCTGGCCATAACTCAAAATGTTATGACTGAAAAGAATCTCTCATGCAATACAGGTTACCCCCTTCATTAATAAAGTAGCAATTCTAAACAAAGGTAGTGATAGGTCTAAGGCCAGACAGCAATAGTTGTGACATAGTTATTCTTTAGCCCTGAACTTCCTGAGAACATGGCACTGCCATTTGGTATAATAATTAAATGACTGTTCTTTGAAGGCCGACTCAAAGAGAGTTCAACTTGCACAAAAAGTTCCCCAAACACACTATGTATCTTATGGGTCCATTTTATCTCTCTTTCTTAAAAAAATACCTTATGTAGAGTCACTGAGTATCTGTGCCTACGAGGCATTTCAAAGATGATGGAGTTCACAAGTCGGCAACCTGACAGATCAGGACGGGTGTCTGGCCCCAGAGTCAGGGTGCCTCCATCCTTTACCAAAACACCCATGTTGAACGCCTGCTTGTGGTTTCTGAGCCCAGCTTCCGACTCCCGCAGGCTCTGGGAACCAGAGGTCATGGATCAAGTGACTTCCAATCAGCCAGTGGGAGAACCTGCTTGAATTCTCAGCACTTAGCTTCAGCCCCAACTGTTGTAAACATTTGGGACGTAAACTAACAGATGGAAACATGTGATCTAACCATCTTCCTGTACTCTCTTAAATGAGTAAGTAATTAGAGAAGTAAATAATTTAACTGTACTATAACATTACAGTCTAAATTCTACTGGTCAACATAGTTGTATATGAATAAAAAAATCTTACTTACCTTATATTTAAGCCAATGAAGTTTGTCCATGTGAAAATATAATCGCCACCAAAGACCATTCCAATATAAGTTATTAATATATTCTAAGATAAAAAAAAAGGAATACACTGTAACACGTTTAACCGAGCTTTCAAAATGTAAATGTAGAAGTCCAGTTGCCTAATGGATAAGTTATCGTCCTCCAAATACAAACACATGCTCATCCCTGTAGTGACTTAAATATCTATCCTTAAAATACAAAAATAAAAACTTATTACTGGGCCCGGCGCGGTGGCGCAAGTGGTTAAAGGTCCTCGCCTTGCACGCCCGGGATCCCATATGGGCGCCGGTTCTAATCCTGGCAGCCCCGCTTCCCTTCCAGCTCCCTGCCTGTGGCCTGGGAAAGCAGTCGAGGACGGCCCAAAGCTTTGGGAACCTGCACCCGCGTGGGAGACCCGGAAGAGGCTCCTGGCTTCGGATCGGCATAGTATCGGCCCGTTGCGCTCACTTGGGGAGTGAATCATCGGACGGAAGATCTTCCTCTCTGTCTCTCCTCTCTGTATATCCGCCTTTCCAATGAAAAAATAATAAAATAAATCTTTAAAAAAAAAAAAAAAAAAAAAAAAAACTTATTACTGCCAGCAACATCCCTAAAATGAGGGCAGTAAGAGCAATTTGGTAGGAGAAATCAATGCTGTTCACCTGTTTCCAATCTATTTCTCTAAAAGACCAATGCTTTTGCAATTATTGGGGAAAAAAAGGCTAGCCAGATTATCAAACTTTCCCAAAGAAGCACTGCTGTTTCCAGGGCAGAAAACAAAGTCACACTCAGCAGTCGTAGGAGGTCAGCTTCTTCCTCCGCTGAGATAACCGTTGGCTTGTGAGAGAGGAAGGGAAAGCCGTGTGTATGACAGCATCTTCCCTTCCTCTTTTCAAAAAGGAAACAAGGCTTTGCCACCATGAAGACTGCTTTTAGAGGCATCTTCCACTTTCTTAAGAAACACATGGGAAGACCTCTCAAAACAGTACACACCAAATCACCTCTCCCAACACCACCAGGCAAAACACCTGCTGGCTCCATCCAACCATCCTCAAACAAAACAAAAGTGAAAAACAATTTTCCAGTTATCATTCGGTTCCTCCCCAATCTCTTCAAGTTTATTATAGTGGCTTCCCGTCTGCTGTTATAACTGCCATGAATTGCAAATGTCAGGAACGTTTTTAGTAACCTGATCTCTCCTAGATCAGGCTTATGAGACAGAAAAAGTGAAGTGCTATAGTGTTTTTAAAGGCCAACAACAAATTTCGAAAGTATTTTTATACCAGAGTGTCCTTGAAGAGCATTCAAGATGGTGACAGTCTACTTGGGTCCTAAGCTAGGGGAGTCAGGTTGCCTTAGAGCAGATTTTCTTAGTATTTGAAGGGAAAATTCATGTAACCACAAATCAGGCCAGTGGGTAATACTGGAAAATTAAGTGGCAAGATCTTTCTGTGCATTCAGGGATCCCGGGAGAAGGTGATTAGTTTATATGATTTGCCCAGTGATTGGAAAGAAAAGGGACACAGAGTCCAGAGCTTGCTGCAAACCAGAAGAACGGGGCTGGCATTATAATAGTACAGTGGGTTAAGCTGCTATCTGCAGCATTAACATCCCATGTATCCCAGCTGCTCCACTTCCAATCCAGCTCCCTGATGATGAGCCAGGGCAAGCAGAGCAAGATGACACAAGCACTGGGACCCCTGCAGCCACAAGGAAGACCAGGGTGAAGCCCCTAGCTCTGGCCTGGCCCAGCCTTGGTCACTGTGGCCATTTAGAGAATGAATCAGTAGACAGAAGACTCCTCTCTCCTCTTTGAAATTCCACCTTTCAAATAAACAAATCTTAAAAGACAAACTGTACATATAAACTAGATCATCTTTAGCAAGATTTACTAATCAGGAAAAGCCAGTATCATCTCCCAAATACACAAATACAGGGTACCAGGAAGCCTAGAAGACTGTCCTGGTATCCCAAAACTAACTGCAAATCTTACATTTGCCTACACTTAGACACCTGTGTAAAATGCAGATTTCCAGGCTATATTCTAGAAATTCTGATTCAATGTATCTGGCACCAGCCTAGAATTTCCACGTTTACGTAATTTTCCTAAGTGATTTTCTCACCACTCCAGAGGGGCCCTTAGGCCTGGAAGGAGGTTGCACGTTCCTGAGTGGGTTGTGACTGGGAGGCTAAGGCAGAAGCTCCACTGTAGCCCAGGAGGCCCCAGTGGCACCCATGTGTCTGAAAGTGCCAGCCCATCCTTCATCCAACAGAGACCCCACGCGGCAGTGAGGAGCAAAAGCAGCAATGAACTGATCAAACAATCCAGTCACTCCTCTCCCTCCAGAGTCTAAGTCATGGAGCTCTTGGACAATCAGGAAGAGGAACATACATCAAAAGAAAAGCAGAGATTTTATGTTGATGAAAACACAACAGTGTTAGTATCCCATGCTGAAAATGACACAGTACACTGAGAAATTCCAAGCAAAAAGGTTTAGTTGTTAAAATTAAACATGGACTTCCGTGTACCATTTTTCTCCGTGGCTAAAAACATGGCACCACTTTCCCTATCTCTCAAGTTCTCACTGCCATTAGTGTGAAAATGTGAGCCATCTATTTTGTTCTTGAAGCATTCACTCTGCAACATCAAAACTGAGATGAGAGCTAATCTGGGGGACGGGGTGGCTCCAGCGGTCTCAGCCAGCTCAAGTCTTTGAAGGCAGAGTGAGTATCTCAGGCTTTCTGGGGAAATTCACACAATTCAGTGGCTATAGTTTAATTTAGGATTCCATTCACACTAAATACTCCACTTCCCTGACCTGAAGTCATAGACTTGATTTAACCCAATCTAGTTTCTAAAATTAGTGAGATAGGTACCACTCCAGTGGGGGTAGAGGGAGAAATCTGGAAAACCAACAAGCACATTGTCTCTGGCACCAGAAAGGAAGTCATAGGGCATCTTCCCTGACCCGCTGCTATCCCCAAGATCAAGGACCCATCTCTCTCTCTGGATGTTTCTACAAAGCAAGTCCACTTTGCTAAGTCATTAGAAACTCAGATGTACTGTGGCCTCACACAGGAGGCCTCAGACTTCACCCAGCAACTTTAGCTCAGTATTCCAATGATCCTGGCTCCATTGCTACTTCCTAGCAAGGAAATGACATGATGAGGAGGAAATGACAGACCCAGGCTTTAAAAGTGGGCCATTCAAGTATGGTTATCATCTTAGAATTGCATAAACAAAATGCATTAAGTCTGTTATTTTTATATTAATACTTTGAAAAGGAAAAATAAACTAAAATGAGCCATTGTAGATTTGGCTTAGACCTAGAAAAACTGCCTTGAATAGGTTCTGGCAGACATCCTCTGCTCACACACCAGTCAGAACTCAGCAAGGCAGAGAACAGAAGGGACCTTCCCAGACCTTAAACAGATGGGTCCCTCAGTACCAAGTGACCCTCGGTCCCCGCAGAAACTGGTCTCATTCTCTTTCTTCCTCTACTCTAAGATAACACAGTGTTCTTTTCCTTTAGAGTTAAGTTGCGTGAAAGCAAACATTAGGTCTAGTCTGAGGTTTTAAACAGAGTTTTGAAAACTGTCACCAAGCCATCATTGGAAATTGGCCAAACCATCATGATTATGGGACTTCAGGCCCCAGCCAAATTATAGAACAATTTTCAAATAAAGCATTTTTCAAAGTCAGAACTTGTTCAGCTCACCTTAATACAGCCAACTATTGTAGTTGTAAGAGCAGAATTATACTGCGTACAGAGCACTATGGAGTACATCAAGATAAACCTGGAATGAAGAAGAAAACAGGACATTTTAAAAAGATCTAGTTACTTTCTCCAGCTCCAGCCAAAAGAAACAAACGGCACGGCCCAGGCGAGTGCGCCCTGGCCACTGACCAGGTGGGAGCCTTTCCTCCACCCCGCTCACTTAGGCGGAATCTTCCATTTTTTTTTTTTTTTTAATTTTACTAACAAGAAACACATGTCCACAGCAGGTGTTCTGCCCTGCTGTCTTCACCAAAATTCTAAAAGTGTCATCTACAATCAATGCATGCTCTTTAAATATCTGCTTCCTACAAATCTACCTAAGCCAGATGCACATCAGAGACCTCAGAGATGCTCGTTCAGTTGTTCATAATCAATGAGGGCAGTATGACATCGGGCCAGGAAGAAGGCAAGAAAGATCCTTCAGGACAAAGGGAAAAAAAAATTACAGCTGTTTTAAGCAAAGATGCAAGTTGACAACTGAGTAGCAGCAGGTGTGATCCCTTCAGACTGGCTAACGCCCTGCATCTGAAGCACCAGGTCAGCTTATGTGGAAGCAGCCACTCCGTGCCAGACTCAGTCGCAAGTAGCACTAACTCACTTGCTGAGGAAAAATAGAAAAACATCATGGAGGTGAGTAAAGGCATGTCTGTAGATTTCCTCTTGCCTCTGACATAGTCTCGGCTAAGACAAAAAAAAAAATCCTCTTCCAAGACGAAGTCAAACATCCTCAAGTAGAAATGTGGCCAGTTGCTGTCACCTACTGATTGTGCAAACTTAGACAATTAAGTTCTGAGTTTGCTTTCTCATAGGAAAGAGGGCAATAGTAACTGTCAAGTTATCAAGGTGGAGGGAAAAAAGCGCAGAATAATGCACAGTGAAATATAACCTTGAGTGTTGCACAGTAGGTACTCAGGTAAGCAATGGCTTGTCCCAGTCTAAGCATGCCGTTGACATCGGATAGATAACCTCGACAAGGCTGCTGCCACCTGAATCAGCAGGTTTAATTCTCTTGATTATCCTAATCTAACAGACTCAAGAGAGCATTGAGAAACGAGGCACAAGGATCTAGAGGAAATTTCTCAGCTCTGTTTCTCTACACAGCTTATCTATTAACAAGGCAGCAAAGGCTCACCCCATCACACAGGAGAGGGCAAACTGCAGAAGAAACAGAGCATCGGCCCAGCCTTCAAACTCCATTGCCTGCAAGACACAAAAAAGCATCCGATTTTAGAGCAGGCCCTCGATATCAGCTGCACCACACACTCTCAGGAATTATTTCTTTGTATCTGCACACACACACGCAGACAGACACACACACACACACACACACACACACACACACACACACACACACACACGACATCCCCAACTCCCAATCCCGAGGCATGCATTTCCCTGCATCACTCCAATGACACTCTGCAATGTCAAATATATGCCACTGAACCAATGAGCAGCTCCAGGAGGGTGTTTTTTCCTTTCCAGAATGAGTGTGGAGAAAACAAAAGCAAAATCTGCCCAAACGCAGCAGCTCTCTCAGAAGGCTGATAATGTGCTGGCATGAAAGGAGTTCTCAATTATTCACACGTGCATTCTCTATGACTAAATCCAGCTGAAGGATTGGGCAGAATCACTGCTTTAAAACAGCAATTGAACTCCTTGAAAAGCAAGCAGTGCATGTGTTGGAGTCAGAGAGGAAGTTCATTGTATTCCTTGCTTTTTAAATCCAAAAGCAAAAAAAAAAAAAAAAAAAAGGAATGAAAAGGTGCACTAATATGTCTCATCCAAGAGGGAACATTTCTCTCTCAAATACATAGTTTCTTATATAATATAAACTTTATAAGCAAATGTGAAAAACATCCCACCATTTCTCTCCTGCTAACCTGTCCAGCTTTAAGTCTTGTGCCTGCATGCCTTTGCCCCTGTGCGTCCTTGTCATCTCTGCCCACCCATCCAATGAAACTTGAGGTCTCTATGCCATGCCTTCCCCAGTGAAGTGCTCCTCTCCCAGTGCCTCCAGGACTCTGGCCTCTCTGAACCGTGTTATCTTCCTACAACCAAGTCCATAGATGGGATGTCCCAGTGGGGAGGCCCTTCTACACATTACTTCTAATGTGTTGTGTCTCTAACAGCACTTTATACACAGAAGACATCCTATTTGTTGTGAGAATACATAAAACCCAGCAATTTTTAGTGGAAAGTTCCATTAATACTGAGAACTGGAAAACCACATCATCACATCATCACCATTACAATCATCACAAGCAAATTCTCTCACACAAAGGCAAACACGCAGAGTACTCTCCAGTCCCTTCCCCACTGCTACTCAGCAACCTCTATCTACTTTCTATTACTATTTATATATAAATAAATAATTTTTTAAAAAAGAACTAATTCAATTTTTCTTAAGTTATTCAAAACCAGTTGAGAGGGAATCCTCCCAGACTCTTTTTTTTTTTAAGCCCTAGTATTACCTTAATTCCCAAACCAGGAAAATTATATGCACACAGTTGAACCTTTTCTAAAACTCATGAAGTACAAGTCACAGGTTCAATCATGCTTTTCCCAAATACATATGTTAAAGTCTTTTTATCTTGGGAAAATTAATATCAAAATGTCCATACTATTCAAAATAAATTACAGATTCAATGGGTCCCCTTCAAACTATCAAGGGCATTCTTCTCAGATCTAGCCAAAAATGATTCTAAAATTCATATGCAAACGCAATAGACCCTAAGAATAGTCAAAGCAATACTAAACAACATAAACAAAATCATAGGCACCATAATACTACCTTTCCAGATATAAGGGAGGGGTGTTAAAACAGCCTGCAACTAACACAAAAATAGAAATGCAGACTCATGGAACAGCATAGAAAGCCCTCTCAATAAGAACTGCAGGCAAACTGGGATCAGGGACTCACTCTAGCTAGTACGACTTCACTTAAGTAACTGCATGTGATTTATATTTCTAACTGCGGTCACAGAGTGAGGTACGAGGTGTTAAGACTTAACATATGTGGACGTGGCACAATGGCTCAGTGGCTAAATCCTCTTCTTGCATGTGCCAGGATCCCATATGGGTGCCAGTTTGTGTCCCAACTGCTCCATGTTCCCATTCAGCTCCTTGCTAACAGTCGGGGAAAATACTAGAGAACAGCCCAAAGCCGTGGGACCCAGCACCCACATGGGAGACCAAAGGAGCTTCTGGCTTAACATTGGCTCAGCTTCAGTTGTTGTGGCCACATTTTGGCACATCGTGCCAATCCTCTACTCCGTGTTGTCCCTTATGAGTTCTAGTTCTAGTCCAGGCTACTCCAGTCTGATCCAGCTATCTGCTTAAGTCTGAAAAACTTGCAGAGGATGAGTCAAGTTTTTGGAACCCTGTATCCATGTGAGAAGCTGTGTGTCTCAGCCTCACACAAGCTCTGGCCATTTGGGGAGTGAAGCAGCAGATGGAAGATCTCTCTCTGTGTGAAACAGAGAAAGAAAGAAATGACGAGAAGGAAAGAAGGAAGCAAGGAAGGAAGGGAGGGAGGGAGGAAGGGAGGAAAGGAGGGCGGTGTCTTTTAAATAAAAATAAATAAATCTTAGGGGGAAAAAAAGGTAACACTGAAGATTGCTAAGTTCTCTTAGGCCCAGTATGATAGCACAGCAGCTACAGTCCTCACCTTAAGCGCTCAAGGAATCCCATATGGGCGCTGGTTCTAATCCCGGAAGCCCCACTTCCCTCCAAACTCCCTGCTAGTGGCCTGGGAAAGCAGCTGAGGATGGCCCAAAGCCATCTTCATGGGAGACCTGCACCCATGTGGGAGACCAAGAAGAAGCTCCTGGCTCCTGGCTTTTGATTGGCTCAGCTCCAGCCATTGCAGCCGCTTCAGGAGTGAGCCATCAGATGCTTCAGGAGTGAGCCATTAGACGGAAGATCTTCCTCTGTCTCTCCTCCTCTCTGTATATCTGCTTTTCCAATAATAATAATAATAATAATAAAAACAAAATTACTATGTTCTCTTGATGAAAGTACCTGTTTATTGTCGTGAAATGTCCTTCTTTACAGTATAGTTTCCTTTATGTTTATGCTACTTAAAGTTTGCTGCACTCTTATGTGCTTTAGAAATTTCATAAAACTTGCATAAAAACTTTTAGGTTCTCTTCCCCTACCAGAGACTATGGCTACACATGTCTGATCTCTTGATTTTGTCTCACAAGTCACTGAATTCTGATCCCCTGTTTTGTTTTTCTCTACATTGATCTTAGATATTTTCTGTTACTATCATCAATACATTAACAATCTCCAGTGTTTAATCTTCAAATCCTTTCAGCTTTATTTTGCAACTCAGATATTACATTTTTCATCCCCTAAAGTTTGAACTGGGTTTTTTTTTAATGGCTTTCTAGTCTCAGCCTTTGTTATTCTGTATATATAATTGATCCTCCAGCAGAGCTTAAGGTGGGACGGTAAATCCTGTCCTGTTCTACAATGGCTAGGAATTGAAAAGACCATTCAATACCTGATTTGAATTATATATTTATCTCAAATGATGCTTCCTCTATGAAATTTTGCACATCCAGGATACTAAATGCTCTTTTTATCAGGTAAGTGACTTAGTGTATGTACAGCTGTGCCTAACTGTATGCTTTGCTCATTAAATTAGCTTGAAAAGCAGAGACTTTATTTTACCAACATAAAACATATCACAGGAGTCTCAAATCTAATCATTTTGCTCCAACTCTAACTCATTCTCCTTTTCTGGCTAAGCTATTTTTTCCCTCAGAGTTACTGAGACAAGAAGCAAGCTGCTGCATTGCACTGTGAGACTCAGGACCTTCCTTTCTAGCTCTGTAAGAAAACAATCATGGCAATGTGTGAGGGCAACAACAAGGCAGAGCCTGCAGGTTGTTAACAGAATTAGAAAGATACTGATACCATGGCTAAGGGAATCTGCTTAACCAATGGACAGCAACTAGTATGTATAACCATTACTTTTTAATTGTGACCTAAGAGTGGAAAATAATCAGAATTATTGGGCAAAGACCTCAATTTTAAGCCTCTCCATAACTTCAGTGCCTTTCTCCCTATAGCTTAAAATATCTGCTAAGTGGTTTAAGATCTTTTTTTAAGCCAGAATTACAGTGAGAGACAGAGAGGCAGAGAGAGATCTTTCACCCACTGACTGGTTCATCCCCCCGGAAGGGCTGCAACAACCAGGGCTGGGCAGGCTAATGTCAGAAGCCAGGAATTCATTGTGGTATCCCAGGTGAGTGCAGGGCCCAGGCTCTTTAAGTTCTATCCCACTGCTTTTTCCAGACCACTACAGGAAGCTGAATCAAAAGTGAAGCAGTCAAAACACAAATCAGAGACCAGATAAGATAAAGGCAAAGTAGGCAGCAGTTTTACCTGATGCAACACAATGCCCATCCCTTCTTTGCTTCCAGTGCATGATTGTGGCATCTATTAACTCCCAACCGTATGCCAAGCTCCGTGTCAAGCCTTGGAGAACTATGCTGAAGGAAGTATAGTCAAACTTGCTGGTAATGGAGGTGTGAGCTATGGCAATGCAAAAATCTTGCCTTGTGCTTGTGAAACACTTTGTTGTTTAGCAAGTGCTCTGTGCTCACCAGGTCATATGCGTCTTATGACAATTATGTGAGATGCAAAGGCCATCTTAATAACCCAGGAAGACAAAATAACATGCATGAAACCATATGTGAAACATCTTTCCAACTCTGAACAACATAAAAAGAGTTGTTGAGAAAGAAATGAAGAGAAAAGAAAGTCATAAAAAAAGCTTTGCAATTGAAAACTATAATATCTAAACTGAAGATTTTCATTGTATCCAGAATATGTGACTTGCTTTAGATCACACAGCTAATAAATGGTAAGCCTGAGTTTACATACTCTAAGCTCAAGACTCTCTATACCAAACATTATGTTTTATTTTTTAAAATTCTGGGCTATTCCAAGCTGGGTCAGAGCAACCACTGGCATGCGCAAGATATGTGCTTGAAAATAGGCCTGGTTGGGGAGCTAAAGGGATGCCCTGGCTGGGGAGTGGTTCCCACTGGTGAGTGCAAGGGCCAAGGTGGGAGCTGTGCTCTGGATTGCACATGGCTGCAGTCTCCCTCGGCATGGGTGTGGACTGGGTCTGGGCTGTGCTAGACTGGGCTGGACTCCAGCACCCATTGGTGATCGTCAGAACCACG